CAATATGCAAAGAAAACTACAAAAACAATTCCCTCTATAATAGCATCAAAAATAATAAAATACTTGAGAGTAAAATTAACCAAGAAGGTGGAAGACTTGTACATTTAAAACCATAAAATATTGCTAAAGGAAATTAAAGGAGACACAAATAAGTGGAAAGACAAACCTTTTCATTAACTGGAAGATTTATTCTTAAAATGTGCATACCACCCAAACCAATCTGCACATTGAATGTAATCTCTATTAAGATCCCAGTGATTTTTTTTTTCAGAAGTAGAAAAATCCACTTTAAGATTTATATAGAAATTCAAGAAACCCTGAATACTAAAAACAAAGATGAAAAAGAACAAAGTTGGAGGTATCACCATGCCTGATTTCAAAACTTGCTAAAAAGTACAGTAATCAAAATGGTGTGGTTCTGGCATAAAGAAAAACACATAGACCAATGAAATAGAACCCAGATCAAAACAACGAGGTACCATCTCACACCTGTCAGAATGGCTATCATCAACAAATCAACAAACGACAAGTGCTTGAGAGTATTCAGAGAAAAAGGAACCCTCTTGCATTGCGGGTGGGAGCAGGCTGATGTAGTCACTGAGGAAAACAGTAAGGCATTTCTTCAAAAAATTAAAAATGGAACTTCCATTTGACCCAATAATCCTACTTCTAGGACTATTAGTACATCCCAAGAAAACAGAAACACCAATCAGAAAGGATATATGCACCCCTATGTTCATAGCAGCACAATTAACCATAGCTAAAATTTGGAAACAGGTTAAGAGCCCATCAGCAGATGAGTGGATTAAAAACCAATGGTACATCTACACAATGGAATACTATGCTGCTGCAAAAAAGAAGGAATTCTTACCATTTGCAACAGCATGGATGGAACTGGAGAGCATTATGCTAAGCGAAATAAGCCAGTCTGAGAAAGATAAATATCACATGACCTCACTCATTTGTGGAATATAATTAATTTCATAAATTGATGAACAAAAATATATACAGAGACAAAGAAGCATCAAATAGACTGTCAAACTTCAGCCGGAAGGCAGGGGAGGGTAGAGGAGGGTAAGAGATCAACCAAAAGACTTGTATGCATGCATATATAAGTATAACCAAAGGACAAAGACATTAGAGGGGTGAGGGCATGTGCAGGAGGGGCAGAGAAGGCAGGGGGGGAGGTCAATGGGGGAAAAGGAGACATATTAGTACATACTACTATTTGTAATACTTTAAACAATAAAAAAATAGAACCCAGAACTCAGAAGTAAATCCTCACATATATGGTCTAATGATTTCAACAAGGATGCCAAGACAGTACAGGAAAGGACAGTATTTTCAGCAAGGATGCTGAGGAAAGTAGATGTCCACCTGCAAGAGAATGAAGTTGGACTACTACCTTAAACCCTTTACAAAAATTAATTTAAAGGGAGTCAAAGCTTAAATATAAAAGCTAAAATTATAAAATGCTTAGAAGATAATATAGGAAAACCTTTCATGACAATGGATTTGGCAGTGAATTCTGGATATGAAACCATATGCAGAAGCAACAAATAAGAAATGGATAAATTTGACTTAATCAAAATTTAAAACTCTTGTACATCAAAGAACACTACCAACAGAGTGAAAAGGCAACCCACAGAATAGGAAAAAAATAATATTTTTAAATTATGTATTTGATGAGGAATTATAACATCCAGAATATTTAAATAAATCCAACAACTCAGTAACAGAGAACACTCCAATTAAAAAATATGGGCAAAGGACTTGAATAGATATTTCTCTGAAGAAGATGCACATATACCAATTAGCACATGAAAGAAGCTCAATATCACTAATTAATACAAAAATATAAATCAAAATCACAATGAGATACCACTTCACACCCGTCAAGATGTCTATTATCATAAAAATTAGTGGCCCAGTGCATGAAGTTCATGCACATTAAAGGGGATTAATTAGAGGAAATATTTTAATATTGCTGCTTGCCCTTTCTCTATAATAGAAGTGTCAGAGATAAAAGAAAAATTAGTAAAATGTATATGAAAATCTTCCTCCTGTCAGAGTCTGGGGTGTGCTGCAGGACCCAGAGTCATGTCCCCGCACACCCGTGGCTCCTCAAAATCACACAAGACACAGACCCAGCTGGCCCCACCCCCATTGGGAGAGATCCAGACTTGGTCGGCCCCACCCTTGTCAAGCCCCGCCGGGCGGGGGGCACAGCCTCAGGTCCCCTGACCCAGCCCAGCACCATACAGCCACAGGTCCCTGCTGATTGCTTGTTAAGGCTCATTACAGGAACTTGGCCTCTGCTATGGGTGCAGCCATCTTGTGTTATGTAATCCCTGCCTCCGCTGTGGGTGTAGCCATCTTGAGAGTTACGGTGTGACAGTCAATTTGCATATTCCCGTTTTATTAGATAAGATAGTAAAGAACTAGTATTGGCCAGAATGAGAAAGAATTGGAACTCTTGTGCACTGTTAGTGGGAGTGTAAAATGGTGTAGCAGCTGTGAAACAGAATGGCTATTCCTCAAAAAATTAAAAATAGATTTATCAAATGACACAAAATTCAATTTCTGGGTATTTTACCCAAAAGACTTGAAAGCAAGAATTCTAAAGATATTTGTACATTTATATTCATGGCAGCATTATTCACAGTAGCCAAAAGGTGGAAGCAGCCCATGTCCATTAAGGAATAAACAAAATGTGATATATATACCGATGGAATATTATTCAACCTGAAAAGGAAAAATTCTGACACATGCCATAATATGGACAAACCTTAAAGATACTGTGCTAAGTGAAATAGCTAGTCACACAAGGACAAATAATGTGTGACTCCACTTACATGAGATACCTAGAGTATTCACATTCATAGAGATAGGAAATAGAATGGGAGTGGCCAGGAGCTGGGGCAGAGGAGAGATAGGGAATTATTGTTTAGTGAGTACAGAGTTTTACCTTTGCAAGATGAAAAAAGTTCCAGGGATAGATGGTTGTGATTGTGGCCCAACAGTGTGAATATACTTAACGCTACTGAACTTGTATGC